CTGGCTGATGCACCACCTGTGCCCCCGACTGTGACACCGCTCCCCACAGCTCCACACACACACACGCACACATTCACTCACTCTGCAGTGCAGGGGGAGAACGCGCACACACACTCCACACCCACACACTCCACACCCACAAATGTGCCCGAGTCAGGAGTCGAACCCAGGGGCTACTCGCTACGAGGCACGACTGTTACCACTGCGTGACCCTCCACGAACTCTCCTGTCTCTCCCCTCTCATCTCACTCCACTCCACACACACTCCTGTCTCTCCCTCTCATCTCACTCCACTCCACTCACTCTGCGGCTTCTCCCTCTCATCTCACTCCACTCCCCTCCACTCACTCTCTTACCTCTCCCCTCTCATCTCACTCCACTCCACACACACTCCTGTCTCTCCCCTCTCATCTCACTCCACTCCACACACTCTGCTGCCTCTCCCTCTCATCTCACTCCACTCCCCTCCACTCACTCTCTTACCTCTCCCCTCTCATCTCACTCCACTCCACACACTCTTCTGCCTCTCCCTCTCATCTCACTCCACTCCACTCACTCTCCTGTCTCTCCCTCTCATCTCACTCCACTCCACTCACTCTGCTGCCTCTCATCTCACTCCACTCCACTCACTCTCCTGTCTCTCCCTCTCATCTCACTCCACTCCCCTCCACACACACTCCTGCCTCTCCCCTCTCATCTCACTCCACTCCACGAACTCTCCTACCTCTCTCCCTCTCATCTCACTCCACTCCACTCACTCTCCTACCTCTCCCCTCCGTGACTCGGGTCATAAAATAAAATAAAACCACCCGACCATGGCTTGATTTGCATACACCTTTATGAGCTGACCTTCGGCTATTACAGAGTTGACTCACGGTCCATGAAAGTTATTTTCGTCTTTTTCATGATGCGTACTTTCTTAACGTGGCACGCGCATATGAAGAGCAATCTGTAACCAAAACATCAGCCCTACACTGCGGGCCTCATCTGAACTACCAATACAGGTAATTGTGTCTCACTCCACTCCCCTCCACGCTCTCTCCCACCTCTCCCCTCTCATCTCACTCTACTCCAGCAGCCAAGACTTTCTGTTTAAGGCACCGGTCAACCTCCACTCAGAGGGAGGTCGCTCCTTCTCCTCTGCTGCCCGCGTTGGCTAGATCGCCCTTCCCGCAGCTACCCATGCTGTTATTTACTCCCTGTACATTCTCAACTCCAGGCTCAAAAAACATTGTCTTCCCTCTACGACTGTCTCTCTCTCGCTATGAAATAAATGTGCCCTCCATATTTCAGGATAACATCGTCAACGTCTTCTTTAACGTCCACTCGCGAAGTCAGCGGCGGGGCGATGGGGGGGGGAGGGCGCAAACTCTCGTACGGTTCATACGCCCGCAGTGTTAACCAGGGCTGCTGTTGGGTCTGAACCGCGAACCAGCTACCAACAAACAGCGAAGGCGCTACCCCCATCACCGCGGTAGCTACCACACACCCGGCTACTCCTGCGTGAACAATCACCTCGGTCACGATATCAGCTTTTTTTTTCCAATCCACGTTGAAGAATGGACATCAGGCGTTTAAGAGCACGACGTGGCTGTTGTAAATGTCCGCTCGATGCTGCTATCAGGTCGCTTCTAGAAAACAGCTGTGCAGGCACTCCTCTACTTACGAACGGGTTCGGTTCCAGTGGTATGTCCGTAAGTCGATTTATTCATAAGTCCAACTTTACACCTGTCAATTCCAAACAAGTTGTACGGCGTGTACACTAAACACGGGGGAATGGCTTTAAAAGCCGTGTCATCTCCTGTTAGACAAAACTGGTTTCTCACGTTCTGCAGATGTAGGTTGCCACTGGCTCTTCATGTGTTACAGATGTAGATGCCACCGCCGCCTCCCTATATATTGTGCGGCGGATGAACAAACGACTATCGGTCCGAACAGGCACAGCTGGACATACGGACGGGGCTCGTTCGTATCTCTGAAAGTTCGTTGAGTCGAATGTTCCCAAGAGGAGGAGTCCGTTGGTGCCTTACCCGGTAAAACACACAAATTGTAGTTTTGAGAGGAGGTTTTTTTTTGTATGTGTTTAATCGGCAAAATTGGCTGCGAGTCCGATTGTGTTTTTATTCTACACCGCACCATGGTGTGAAAAGGGGGGATGCGGTTACGCCGATGGGTTTCACCTAACACCGTGATTCTGTTTGTTGTTGTTGGTGTCTTTCATCACCGTCTGCGTTCTTGACTGCATCTGCGTTGCAAGTTGTAGTTGCCGGCGTAGGTAAGCACGGTTGGCTACGTACGGTGCGAAAGAAATTAAACATGGAAACTGGACAGAGACTAACACTACCCCTAGACTCAACACTACCCATAGACTCAACACTACCTATAGACTCAACACTGCACATAGACTCAACACCACCCATAGACTCAACACTACCCATAGACTCAACACGACCCATAGACTCAACACTACCCATAGACTCAACACTGCCCATAGACTCAACACTACTCATAGACTCAACACTACCCATAGACTCAACACTACCCATAGACTCAACACTACCCATAGACTCAACACTACCCATAGACTGAACACTGCCCATAGACTCAACATGACCCATAGACTCAACACTACCCATAGACTCAACACAGCCCATAACTCAACACTACCATAGACTCAACACTGCCCATAGACTCAACACTACCCATAGACTCAACACTACCCATAGACTCAACACTGCCCATAGACTCAACACTGCCCATAGACTCAACACTACCCATAGACTCAACACTGCCCATAGACTCAACACTACCCATAGACTCAACACTACCCAATAGACTCAACACTGCCCATAGACTCAACACTACTCATAGACTCAACACTCCCCATAGACTCAACACTGCACCATAGACTGAACACTGCCCATAGACTCAACATGACCCATAGACTCAACACTACCCATAGACTCAACACAGCCCATAGACTCAACACTACCCATAGACTCAACACTACCCATAGACTCAACACTACCCATAGACTCAACACTGCCCATAGACTCAACACTACCCATAGACTCAACACTACCCATAGACTCAACACTGCCCATAGACTCAACACTGCTCATAGACTCAACACTACCCATAGACTCAACACTACCCATAGACTGAACACTGCCCATAGACTCAACATGACCCATAGACTCAACACTACCCATAGACTCAACACAGCCCATAACTCAACACTACCATAGACTCAACACTGCCCATAGACTCAACACTACCCATAGACTCAACACTACCCATAGACTCAACACTGCCCATAGACTCAACACTGCCCATAGACTCAACACTACCCATAGACTCAACACTGCCCATAGACTCAACACTACCCATAGACTCAACACTACCCAATAGACTCAACACTGCCCATAGACTCAACACTACTCATAGACTCAACACTCCCCATAGACTCAACACTGCACCATAGACTGAACACTGCCCATAGACTCAACATGACCCATAGACTCAACACAGCCCATAGACTCAACACTACCCATAGACTCAACACTACCCATAGACTCAACACTACCCATAGACTCAACACTGCCCATAGACTCAACACTACCCATAGACTCAACACTACCCATAGACTCAACACTGCCCATAGACTCAACACTGCTCATAGACTCAACACTACTCATAGACTCAACACTACCCATAGACTCAACACTGCACCATAGACTAAACACTGCCCATAGACTCAACATGACCCATAGACTCAACACTGCCCATAGACTCAACACTACCATAGACTCAACACTGCCCATAGACTCAACACTACCCATAGACTCAACACTACTCATAGACTCAACACTACCCATAGACTCAACACTGCCCATAGACTCAACACTGCCCATAGACTCAACACTACCATAGACTCAACACTACCCATAGACTCAACACTGCACCTCCGATTAGGACGGTTAGCTACGTACAGTGCGATAGAAGTTCAACACACATACATAGTTGTCATCATTGTTATCATTATGGGGTTATGGCATTTATCTATTCTACACGATCTACACTTGTCACCTGCAGTTTTTACAATGATGTTTTTGTCAATGTACAGCGCTTTGAGATTTCGATATGAAAGGCCCTTTATGAACGCAAGATGATTGTTATTCGTATTACGACTACTACGACTGTGACCAGATTCCATCTTCATGGCAGGGGCAGTTGAATCCACGGAGGCCAAAAGAAGAAGCAATGTGATGGCAAGGAGCACTGCCTGAAACGTCGGCCTATTTCATATGGTGATCAATCTTCAGGCACACCTCTCAAACAAAGAGGGCCACGTTCACACGTGGAGATTTAAAAATATTAGCGTTTTTTTAATTTAAACTAAACTATCAAAAAAACTAAACGATGTTTTATTTCACCAGATAAGGCCCCCACTGAGCTACGTAGCTCTTTGTCAGAAGCGTCCTGACAATCACAAATGATAGCTCCACGAAGTGGGCTTATCATCATCATCATCGCGCGGAAATTTGGAGCAGCCAGATATAACTCTAAACGCGTGGCATTCCTTATAAATGTGGGGGGGGGGGGGTGGGGGGTGGAAACCGGGGGACCCGGAGAACAATCCACACGACCACGGGGAGAGAGAGAGAGACACGCAGACTCCAAATATACAGCAGCAGGCGTCGGGATCGAACCCACGTCCTCCTGTATACCAGGCGAGGTAGCTAACGTCTCTAAGCCCCCGTGATGATGATGATGAGAGAGAGATTTCAACTCAAAATATACAGCAGGCGTCACGGTCGGGATCGAACCAACGACCTCCTGCATACCAGGCGAGGTAGTTAACATCTCCAAGACCCAGTGATGATGATGATGATGAGAGAGAGAGAGACATTTCAACTCAAAATTTACAGCAGGCGTCAGGGTCGGGATGGAACCCATGACCTCCTGTATACCAGGCGAGGTAGCTAACATCTCCAAGACCCAATTATGATGATGAGAGAAAGAGAGACATTTCAACTCAAAATATACAGCAGGCGTCAGGGTCGGGACGAAACCCACGAACTCCTGCATACCAAGCGAGGTAGCTAACATCTCCTAGCCACCAACGCCTCTCAAACAAGTCATCCCCAACCAATCGCACTAACGTACAGTAACACGGCATGGAACTACTCTTGACATCGCTTCTTCTTCTTCTGTCGGACAAAGGAGCCACTCGCGTTCACAACACTCAAATCTGTCTGGAAGAAAGCGAGAGAGCGACACAGAGAGGCGGGGGGAGGGGTGGGGGGAGTGATTAGACATCGGTAAGGCTGTCGGGAAATGCAATAATTGCCAAGGGGCTTCCTTGGACGGCGGCAGCCACCCCTGTGCACACACAGCGCAATGTGATCGTTAGCATCCCTGGGGAGAATTACACGCAACATAATCGGTAAAAAAAAGAAAAGTCGCTCGGTAAAATGGGTTTTTTATATAGAGAGAGAGAGAGAGTGGGTGTCCGACTAGGAATATACCAAGATGAAAGTTGAATAGCTGTTCTAGATTTAAAGCTTTCGTGACTGCAAGGATCCATACTCTTTGGTTCTATTCGGTAAAGTCACGTAAAAAACAACAAGAAATGAAAATAAAAATAACAGTCTGGTCCCCTTCACTCACTCCACTCACTCCACTCACTCACTCCACTCACTCACTCCACTCACTCGCTCCACTCACTCCACTCACTCACTCCACTCGCTGACTCCATCACTCACTCCACTCACTCACTCCACTCACTCCACTCACTCCACTCACTCCACTCACTGACTCCATCACTCACTCCACTCACTCCACTCACTCACTCCACTCACTCACTCCACTCACTCACTCCACTCACTCCACTCACTCGCTCCACTCACTCCACTCACTCACTCCACTCACTGACTCCATCACTCACTCCACTCACTCCACTCACTCACTCACTCCACTCACTCCACTCACTCCACTCACTCACTCCACTCACTCCACTCACTCGCTCCACTCACTCCACTCACTCACTCCACTCACTGACTCCATCGCTCCACTCACTCACTCCACTCACTCACTCCACTCACTCACTCCACTCACTCACTCACTCCACTCACTCACTCCACTCACTCACTCCACTCACTCCACTCACTCACTCCACTCACTCCACTCACTCACTCCACTCACTCCACTCACTCCACTCACTCACTCCACTCACTCACTCCACTCACTCACTCCACTCACTCCACTCACTCACTCCACTCACTCCACTCACTCCACTCACTCTACTCACTCACTCACTCCCCTCCCCCCCGCTGCTGGTCCGTCATGGTCCCCACCCGCTCCTGGCCCATCATGGCCCATGCACCTCCTACGTACATCATGCTCATTTTATGCTAATTCCGTTGTCAAGCGTTTTGCTTCCTCCCACACAGCTTAAAGGACGCGACCTGGGCTTGGCTGTTTTCACTCCAACGCTGTCCTCATGACAGCACGGTCCCTTCACCTGATGAAGGCCACTTGTGTTGTGGCCGAAACGTCGTGAATTTTTTTTGTTTTTACGTGACTTTACCGAATAGAACCAAAGAGTTTGAATAGCTCTATTGTTATTCGTTGATGCCGACTTCAATTTGATATGAATGTGTGCATTAGAGCAGCGGTTCTTAACCGATGCTGCAGCCTTGCACCCCGTTGGTTCTCAATCGTAAAAAAAAAAACTACAATGTGAATAAATACGTAGGGTTTGATTTACCTTCTAAACAAAATCTACAATGTGAATAATTACATAGGGTTCGATTTACCTTCTAAACAAAATCTGGCCATGTCTCACACACCCCCCAAAAAGGGCATCTCTCACCCCCAGGTTAAGAAGAAGAAGCGCTGATCTAGAAGCATCCAGCAGCATCCCAATACCTTGCGCGATGACGACGCTACAGCGAGGCGGCCGTACAAACCGCTTGTTCCTACTCGCGCGCGACGTAGATCCGTTCGCTCGATCGTGTTACATCCAATTCGTGTTACAACAACACGTGTGTTCCTATAGCTAACTCGTGTTATAACAACACGTGTGTTCCTATAGCTAACTGGCGTTACAACAACACGTGTGTTCCTATAGCTAACTGGCGTTACAACAACACGTGTGTTCCTATAGCTAACTGGCGTTACAACAACACGTGTGTTCCTATAGCTAACTGGCGTTACAACAACACATGTGTTCCTATAGCTAACTGGAGTTACAACAACACGTGTGTTCCTATAGCTAACTCGCGTTATAACAACACGTGTGTTCCTATAGCTAACTGGCGTTACAACAACACATGTGTTCCTATAGCTAACTGGCGTTACAACAACACGTGTTCCTATAGCTAACTCGCGTTATAACAACACGTGTGTTCCTATAGCTAACTGGCGTTATAACGACACGTGTGTTCCTATAGCTAACTGGCGTTATAACGACACGTGTGTTCCTATAGCTAACTGGCGTTACAACAACACGTGTGTTCCTATAGCTAACTGGCGTTATAACAACACGTGTGTTTCTATAGCTAACTCGCGTTATAACAACACGTGTGTTCCTATAGCTAACTGGCGTTATAACAACACGTGTGTTCCTATAGCTAACTGGCGTTATAACAACACGTGTGTTCCTATAGCTAACTGGCGTTACAACAACACATGTGTTCCTATAGCTAACTGGCGTTACAACAACACGTGTGTTTCTATAGCTAACTCGCGTTATAACAACACGTGTGTTCCTATAGCTAACTGGCGTTACAACAACACATGTGTTCCTATAGCTAACTGGCGTTATAACAACACGTGTGTTCCTATAGCTAACTGGCATTACAACAACACGTGTGTTCCTATAGCTAACTGGCGTTATAACAACACGTGTGTTCCTATAGCTAACTCGTGTTATAACAACACGTGTGTTTCTATAGCTAACTGGCGTTACAACAACACGTGTGTTCCTATAGCTATCTCGCGTTATAACAACACGTGTGTTCCTATAGCTAACTGGCGTTATAACAACACGTGTGTTCCTATAGCTAACTGGCGTGATAACACCACGTGTGTTCCTATAGCTAACTGGCGTTATATCGATACGTGTGTTCCTATAGCTAACTGGCGTTATAACAACACGTGTGTTCCTATAGCTAACTGGCGTTATAACAACACGTGTGTTGCTATAGCTAACTCGCGTTATAACAACACGTGTGTTCCTATAGCTAACTCGCGTTATAACAACACGTGTGTTCCTATAGCTAACTGGCGTTATAACAACACGTGTGTTCCTATAGCTAACTGGCGTTACAACAACACGTGTGTTCCTATAGCTAACTCGCATTATAACAACACGTGTGTTCCTATAGCTAACTCGCGTTATAACAACACGTGTGTTCCTATAGCTAACTCGCGTTATAACGACACGTGTGTTCCTATAGCTAACTGGCGTTATAACGACACGTGTGTTCCCCGTTACATTAATCGCTGCACTTTCCGTTGCAGGAGAAACTCGCTCGTTCACCCGACTTAACACCGTTTAATGCTTCTTCTTTTAATCTCTGCGGTTTATTGTTTCTTTAAAAGAGTAAAAGTCTTACGCTTGTAGAAACGTTGTTGTTGTTGATGATGATGATGAGTTTGAACACCGAGATCGATCGACGCCCGTGAATGATGGTCGACATGGGGAAGCGTATTAATCATTCGAGAACAATTAATCGATACCATGAATAAAATGCAGCGACTAAAGCTCAAAAGTATTGACGTCCCATCTACGTCAGTATCTCGAATGACAATATCACCATTCAACGTTATTTTTCACAAACACCATTCATTTTCGGACACACCGTATATATATTAGTGGCGAAACGTCGTACTCAGATTGTAAATGTTGTGGCTTGGCTCTCCAACACACAAGCGGTTAGTGCTGTACTAGTATACTACACTATACACTACTATACACTACACTATACACTACACCATACACTACTATGCACTACACTATACACTACACTATATACTACTATACACTACACTATACACTAGTGCTGTACTAGTGACGAATTGTCCACGTTATCTTCTTTGGTTCTTTCGGTAAAGTCACGTAGAATGATAATAAAATAATAAATTTATAAAATAAAATAACACAATAATATTCTCACGACGTTTCGGCCACAACACAAGCGGCCTTCATTGGCCGAAACGTCGTGAGAATATTATTGTGTTATTTTATTTTATCAATTTATTATTTTATTATCATTCTACGTGACTTTACCGAAAGAACCAAAGAAGATGAATCATTGCAGTCACGAAAGCTTTAAATCGAAATGTCCACGTTATGTTTACGTGACAACCCTTACTAGTTGGCTGTGTCGGGTGGTGGCGGGTTTTAACGACACAACATTTATATATTTACGTGATCTAACCCAACAAAAACCTGCATTATGGACACACACGCACGCGTACCAAGCATTACATATCCACCGTACCCTTGATGGTCGAGGTTCGAGTCCCGTTCATGACGAGGGGAGGTTCAGCACTTCGATGGGGTTTTCTCTGTGGGGTCTGTGCCCTTCCCGAGGTCTGATGCACACACACACAGGAACACAAAGACAAAGATCCCCCGTGTAGCCTTAGCGGACTGTTGGGGCAAGTGCTGTTAGCGAGCAGCACCTGTGAAGGCCGGCACCGTGGCACACGAGAGCGGTGGGTGGCCAACACCACGCCCCCGGCCGCCTTTGTCTCCCCAGTGGCGTATATAAACACATCGCACCGGGTACTCATTTGAGGCTGAGTCGACCTAGGGGAGGCCCAGGCCCGATTCAGATAATCGTCACCGGTGTTGGCCGTGAGCGAGAATCGAACCCCGGTGGCCGGGTTCGGAGTGCAGCGTAGCGCTAACCGCTGCACCACCGCTCCTACACACATACACGCAGTGCCGGATTAAGCAGGTGGGGCCTGTAGCGTGGTGTTATAAAGGGGCGCTAAATAAAATAAACAACAAATATTAAAACACGAATATTTTACTTTAATAATAAAGTAATTGTATTTCTTCATTTGCTATACAGCCAGATAATACGACAAACCGCTAAACTTAAACACCAAATCTTTCGTAAAATCTGAAGGCAGTATATTACTATAGTTAGAGAGCAAGTGCAGAATCACTGAACCGGAATTGACAGCTTGAAAGTGCGGGGCCCGGAGCAGATGCAGCTACGTTTGCGACTACGATCATCCGGCCATGCACACGGGCACACGGATGACACCTAACATCGGCGTCCGTCAGGAAGAGTCTAAGGACTCTAAGCAAAACCAAAAGAAGGAGCCGACGTTTCGTCTCCTTCCCATGGCCTCTCGCTCCGCATGCAGAAAACTCGCGATGACCCGAACGACGATCCGCTGACCGCCCCACCCGACGCGGTCCCAGAAGCAAGGCCGAGAGGCTGACGGAATGTGTAAAGAAAGATAAAAGAAAACCCGTAAGAACGTTTCCGTGTGCAGGGACGGATTACGCGCCTGGTTGCTCGATGATCCAGAAACGGATTCACTCTCCGGCCACCCGCTCACCTGCAGGCAGTCACCGTCTCGTCACTCCGCTCTCGCTACTGTCGTGGTCACCGTCCCCGTTAAGGTCACTCGTTGATTCTCAATTCCGATGTGGAGGACTCCGATCAAGCAGATTGATCGCACGCAACTCACTCGCCCACCCGCTCAGCCGCCCGCCCGCCCGCTCAACCACACACCCATCCACTCGGCCACTCACCCACCCACCCACCCGCCCACCCACTCACTCACTCACCCACCCACCCACCCGCCCACCCACTCACTCACTCACCCACCCACCCACCCGCCCACCCACTCACTCACTCACCCACTCACTCACTCACCCACCCGCCCACCCATCCACTCGCCCACTCAACCACCCACCCACCCATCCACTCGCCCACTCACCCACCCACTCACCCACCTACTCAACCACCCACCCACTCACCCACCCACTCACTCACCCACTCACTCACCTACTCAACCACCCACCCACTCACTCACCCACTCACTCACCCACTCACTCACCCACTCACTCACCCACTCACTCACCCACTCACTCACCCACCTACTCACCCACTCACTCACCCACCCACTCACCCACTCACTCACCCACCTACTCACCCACTCACTCACCCACCCACTCACCCACTCACCCACCCACTCACCCACTCACTCACCCACTCACCCACCCACTCACCCACCCACTCACCCACCCACTCACCCACCCACCCACTCACCCACTCACTCACCCACTCACCCACTCACTCACCCACTCACTCACCCACTCACTCACCCACCCACCCACTCACTCACTCACCCACTCACTCACCCACTCACTCACTCATTCACCCACTCACTCACCCACTCACCCACTCACTCACTCACCCACTCACTCACCCACTCACCCACTCACTCACTCACCCACTCACTCACTCACCCACTCACTCACCCACTCACTCACCCACTCACTCACTCACCCACTCACTCACCCACTCACTCACCCACTCACTCACCCACTCACTCACTCACCCACTCACTCACCCACTCACTCACCCAATCACCCACTCACCCACCCACCCACTCACCCACTCACCCACCCACTCACTCACCCACTCACCCACTCACTCACCCACCCACTCACCCACTCACTCACCCACTCACCCACTCACCCACTCACTCACCCACCCACTCACTCACCCACTCACTCACCCACCCACCCACCCACTCACCCATTCACCCACCCACCCACTCACCCACTCACCCACCCACTCACTCACCCACTCACCCACTCACCCACTCACCCACTCACTCACCCACCCACTCACCCACTCACTCACCCACTCACTCACCCACTCACCCACTCACTCACCCACTCACTCACCCACTCACTCACCCACTCACCCACCCACTCACTCACCCACCCACCCACTCACCCACCCACCCACCCACTCACTCACTCACCCACTCACCCACTCACCCACCCACCCACTCACCCACCCACCCACCCACTCACCCACCCACCCACCCACTCACCCACCCACCCACTCACTCACCCACTCACTCACCCACTCACCCACTCACTCACTCACCCACCCACCCACTCACTCACTCACCCACTCACTCACCCACTCACTCACCCACTCACCCACTCACCCACCCACCCACTCACCCACTCACCCACCCACCCACCCACTCACCCACTCACTCACCCACTCAACCACCCACCCACCCACTCACCCACCCACTCACTCACCCACCCACTCACCCACCCACCCTCTCACCACACTGCAGGTCAACTCACTTCTATTTCTGCTTCTTCACCTCGCACGGCTCCACTTTGGAATCCCCTCCCACCACCACCACCATCACCGTCATCGCCTCATTCCCCCAAAGCTCTTGCAATCACAACGTCGCTCAACGAGAGACTAACCCACTATTGCTATCCTGCAGTCACGAAAGCTTCAAATCAAGACGATTGCTATACTCTGTATAGCAAGATGAAACCAACTATTATCACGGATGACAACTTTTATCGGCGCGTACGTGGCGCGTTTCCGCGACCTTGATCACGACGAATGTTTAACGGTGGCCCTTTGTCTTTCCGGGTCTCTGGCCTTGCGCTCGACAAACAGCGTGATGAATAAAATGCAAAAAATAAAACCAAAAAGCCACCGCCTTACGGCACGCTCTGCACTACCCCCATCGGCAACACCCTGCGCACCGCACGAAGGTGACCGCCGTTGAAGCCGAACACTTCAATGTGTTCGGCGTCCTTCCCCCGCACCTCCGATCATGACGGTGGGCGACGCACGGTGGCTAGGAGATGTTAACTACCTCGCCCGGTGTGCAGGAAGTCGTGGGTTCGATCCCGACCCTGACGCCTGCTGCTGCTGTTATATTTTAAGTTTGCAGTGTCTCTCTCTCTCTCTCATCATCATCACGGTGGCTAGGAGATCTTAACTACCTCCCCATGGTATACAGGAGGTCGTGGGTTCCATCCCGACCCTGATGCCTGCTGCTGTATATTTGGAGTCTGCGTGTCTCTCTCTCTCATCATTATCACGGTGGCTATGAGATGTTAACTACCTCGCCTGGTGTACAGGAGGTCGTGGGTTCCATCACGACGCTGCTGCTGCTGTATATTTGGAGTCTGCGTGTCTCTCTCTCTCGCCGTGGTTGCGTGGACTTGTCTCAGGGTCCTCCGGTTTTCCCCTCCACGTTTATAATCAACAGCACGCGTTGAAGAGTATTTGGCTGCTATAAATATCCACGCGATGATGATGAGCAACACTTAGCTTGGTTATCATTCGTGGTGGCCAGGTCGCTTCTGAAAAAGAGCGACATCGCTCAGTGGACCTTACCTGGTAAAAAAAAAATGTACGCTATGTAAGTTTACGTTTTTGTAAGTAAAATAACGTACATACACAATCTCTAGTAGGCTGCAGCTTAGGACCTTAGATTTCGATAGATATTTACAGCTTTCATAGTTAGTTTAACACGTAGGCTTTCGCGACCGATATTATTCATAATAAAGGTTTTTGGGTTAGATCGCGTTTATTTATAAATGTGTCGTAACCCTCCACCACCCGACACGGCCAATCAGCAAAAAAAAGTGTCACGTTGACAAAAGACAAATAATTCACTACTTTAGCCCACCGGTGTGTTGAAGAGTGAATCCACAACATTTACAGTTTGAGTACGACGTTTCGCTGGTAAATACATCCAGCATCATCGGGCAATTCGCCAGAATGGTAAAGCCCTCGCTTGCTCCCGGTTCTATAAGCTTTCATAGTTGTTGAAAGTAATGAAATTCAACAATGTGGAAGAGTGGTTCTTCACAAATTTTCAGAGGGGGTTCGCTTTCGCCGATGTGACTTCGCCAGTAGCGTGTGACAGGGCCGCCGCCACGCATCATTTGAAACCATTGGTGGTGAGTTTTTCGAGCAGCACGGTGATGATGGTGATGGGGTGGCGTTGTCACCATTTGTGTAACCTCGTGGGCCTTGCAGTTTGAGAACACGTGGCCTTGACGCGCACGCTCACACACACAGAGGAGACGGCCTCCGATGTGTAAACCATTCGGGGGGGGTTGACAGCAGCATGATGATGATGTAATGATGATGGGGGGGAGGAAGTTCCTCGCACTACTTTGGGTGTTGATCGGGGATTGTCCGCGCGTCAGGGGCTGCACTAAAGGCCACCAGGGGCCGAGGGGGGGGGGCAGTGGCCCCCCACGGAAGCCTTGCAATGATGATGAAGAACACCTGGGGTAGGATGATGATGAAGATGATGATGAAGAAGATTTGCTCACTGAAGGCAAAGTCGGGCATGGGCTCGCCACGCGAGACCAAAGTCCGCGTAACTTGGGCGCGTAGACCGGCGGAGGCGAGACAGAGGGAGAGGGGGAGGGAGAGGAGGGAGGGGAGGTATGGATGGAGGGAGGGGAGCGAGGGATGGAGGAGAGCGAGGGAGGGAGAGAAGGGAGGGGGGATGGAGGGAGGGGAGGGGAGGGAAGCGAGGGAGAGAGGGGGGGGAGG